TCAAAATCTCGCACAACAAGTCATTGCTACCGAACGCCGAGTGGATGCCTTACATGATGCAGTCGCCCGCAAACGCCGTGAACAAGACCGCCAAGCCGACGAGCAGAAGAAGATGTGGCAGCAGATCGATCAGATGCGTGACGCGCTCGCGCTCGCTGAAGCTCAGGCGCCCATCACGGACCTCACTGAGCTCGCTGACTGGGGCCGCGCCCCCGACCCGACCATCTTCTCCATCGGCTGCCAGCGCCTCATCGCGCCCGACATACTGCTCAACGACTTGCAGGAGTGGATCGCCTCCGCCAACTTGGACCGCAACGCCGTGGAGTTGCTGGGCGACGAGTCGTCCAGACGCTTCCTTCTTCAAGTCAAAGGAGATCGTGCAGCCGCAATCCCGCGATCTCTCGCTCTTTCACGCGCCCTTCGAGATCCTGCTGGCAGGTGGAAGCGCTTTGAGTCCACCGACGCGACAGGAGCCCGAGTGGATATCTACCTCAATCCCGACAAGTCTCCCAAGCAGATCCGCGCCGAGATCCAGTGCAAGAAGCTCCTGCAACTGCTCTTGCACCGCTACCCTGACAAGCCATGGAGGGCCATTCGCACCAAGGGCGAGATCCATTGCAACGCCATGCCCGTTGTCCGCCTCGACGTCAAGGGCCAGGCCGACCCCGCCATCCTCGAGTGGAACGAGCACGCGTTCGAAGGCCACCGCTTCAACGAAGTGGATCGTGGCGGCGTCCTCGCCGCGTTCCAGGCGCTCTTCGCGGACACTGCGTCAGCAACGTGGCGGGTTTAGCCGCCCCTGGTCGCCGTGGCGACCGACCGAGGACCCCGTCCCCAGCACCTTCATCACGTGGAATGCCAGAGCCCTCATGTGCCACAAGCGCCGGCGCCGCCGCCGCAAACAGGCTGCCCTGACGAAGTACATGCGCCGCCACTGCGTCATCCTCCTCCAGGAGGTTCACGACTCGGAGGCCCTGCTCCGCACGTGGGTGGACACGCAGCCGTGCCCGTGCAAGCTCTTTTTCTCCGAGTTCGTCAGCGGCGATGACGTCGAGGCCCGACCTGGCACTGGCGGAATTGCTACGTTGGTGCCCTGGCTCACGCCCATGCAGCTCGAGCAGCTTGCTCCGCACCAACTGCCTACCTTCGCCCACGAGGAGATCGTCAAGGGCCGCATCCAGACCGTCTCCGTCACCAATGCCGTCACGAACAACTCCATCGTCATCATGAACGTCCATAACCACGAGATCGACGCTCGCGGCCGCGACCGAGTGCAACGCGCCTGGCATCAGCATCGCACCTGGGCCGAGGCCGACTACCAGCACCGCGCCTTCATCGCCATGGGGGACTTCAATACTGCCAGCCGCCCGCCGAACAGCTTCCTGCAGCCCCAGCCACAGCGCGCGCGCCTTGCGCTGGACAACAGCGCCCGCCAGCAGCAGCCTTTCTGGAAAGCACTCTTCGACTCCATGCTCGAAATCGAATCCGACTTACCGACCCGCTTCAACAAGTCCGACTTCTCCGCCTCAGCGATCGACCGCGTTTTCATCAGCTTGCCGCCCCATGCCTTGCTCGAGCTCACATCGCAGATCAACATTGTACACGATCCTGCCATCCTGTCAGACTCCTTCCTCAGCGACCATGCGATCATCTCCTACACCATCGGCATCAAGCCGCGCACGCCGACGAACGACCAGGCGATCCCCCCTGCGATCTTCCGCGACCCGAACTACGCCAAGTACCTGGACCAACTGATCACCCACACCAAGACTCAGCACGTCCCCATCCAGAACCGCTGGCGCTCGCACAAGCGTCTCATGGTCGAGGCCGCGAGGCTCGTCCGCGACGACTGGGTCAGCTCCACCGGGGACGGCAGCAAATCCAACCATGCCGACGGACGGGTCCTCACGGCGCGCTCGATCTCACGCGCGGTCTGGCGCCAGGATGTGGCTCTCGCTCGTCGCCTTCAGTCCACCTCCGAGCTTGGTGCCAAGTACCTCTCGATTACCGACGGCCTCGTCACGATCATCAACCAGCCCGAGTTCGCTGACATGTCAGCCTCGCTCCACCGCGACTTCGAGGCTCGGCAACGCTCTCTGGCGCAAAGAGCTGCCCAGCGCCCCCCTGGCGCGGCAGGGGCCCTCGAGCCCGAGAAACTCCGTCGAATCTTGCGCGCCTCGCAGAGGCGGGCTCTCCTTTGGGCCCCCTGGAAGCGTCGTCTGGTCCTCCAGGGCATCAAAATCTCGGGCCCAGATGGCCCCCCTGGGGTCGCCAGAGAGAGCTGCGATATGGCGGACGCCCTTCGCACCTACTGGAAGCCCGTCTTCGCGCACAAGCTCGTCGATTCCGTCAAGGTCACGCAGTGCATCTCCGAGCACATGCCGCTGGGCGCCGCCATCGACGTGGGCGCGCCGACCAAGAGGCAGATCCGCGCCTTCCTGGCTCGCACCTCGCCGTCGGCTCCTGGACCTGACTGCCTCCCATATCGCGCTTGGCTCGCACACGACTCGTCGCTGGACCTGCTCGAGGACCTCTCGTTCCACCTCTGCTCGAACGCTAACTTCATCCACGACCTGAACGACTCTGACTTCGCCTTCCCGCCGGAAGGGGACAACCTCGTCGGCGAGATGCAGACCGACAGGGCGCCTGAGGACACGCGCCCGCTCTCGCTCAAGAAAACTGATATCAAGGCCATCGCTGGTGCCGCCAACTTCCTCCTCAAACCCGCTGTGGCAGAGCGGACTCACAAGGCGCAACAGGGGTTCGTAGTCGGCCGCAACTTCACCAAGCACATTGTCATTCTTGACGCCGAAATGCGCCGCGCTGGGATACGTCCCGATGCTGCTGATCACCACCCTGTCTTCACCAGCTTCGACTTCGCGGCGGCGTTCCCGTCTTTGGGTCGTGCCTGGCTCTTCGCGGCACTCGAGCGCTTCGGGGTGCCCATCGGCCTCGTGAGCCTCTTCCGCAACCTGTGCCACGCGCCGAACAGCTTCCTCAAGGTCGACGGGATCCGCCACTTCATGTTCGCCATCGAGTCGGGCGTCGCGCAGGGCTGCCCCGCCAGTGGCTCGGCATGGGCCATCGCGATGGACCCGCTCGTCCGCCGCATCGCCCCCTTCATCGAGCACCCCGACGGCGCGCCCGACTGCGACAAAGGCTACCTCGGCGTCTGCGCGGACGACACTGGCCTACTCACATTCTCGTTCGACACGCTGCTCAAGGCATCTGAGCCTTTTTCTGCCGCAGAGGAGCTCGCGCTGCTCTCCCTCAAACCCCGCAAGTGTGTAGTCGTGCCCCTGTGGGCGCCTGTCTCTCCTGCCACCGCAGCCCAAACGAAAGCGCTCCTGGCTGACCTTTGCCCTTCCTGGGGTGGCTTCACGATTTCGGGGCGAGCCAAGTACCTCGGGACCTTTCTTGGACCTTCCTCCTCCCTCTCCCTTCAATGGCTCGCCCCAGGGCAAAAGTGGTGGCAGCGCAGTAATTTGTTCAATCTCGTCCAGTCTGGCAGTGATTCCACCGTTCGCTTATATGACACTTCCGTCCTGTCCACGCTCGGCTACGTTGCTCAGTTCTTCCCGCTCGATTCTAAGATTGCGTGCCGTGAACTGTATGTCTCCCACAAAATTCTCAGCATGCCGCCCAACTCTTTTCGGAAGGTAGATCTCATCTCGATGGCGGAATGGAGCCCGCCACCTGTCCTTCGATCAGCTCAAGTCGCATCTGTCGCCGCAGCCATCCGCACAGCCACTTTCACACTCCGTGGAGAATGGGAACCGTTCTTCCACCGTCTGCGAGACACCGCCTGGGAGGAGAGCACGATCCATTCCTTCCCTCGGTGGGAAGCAGGGCGCTGGTCCCCCCCCTTCTGGGAAGAGACCTCGCCCATCGTGCAGTTCTACCATGCCCTGTCTTGCGGGCAGCGTGTCTCGCCATTTTCTGCAGCAGCCGTGGCCCTGGCGAACCGCGCTGCACGAGCCAAAATTCGCGAGGCACCTGCTGCTGACCCGCCGCGTCGCCCGAAGGTACAGAGTGCGGTCGCGCTTGCTCTGCAGCGCGCCCTTTCCTCTTCGCCGTTCGCAGTCACTCTCGCGAAGCGCCCTGCAGCATGGGGCCTTCAGCTGACGCCGCCGCCCCCAGAGCTCCCCTGCCGCTGGTCAGCTCTCACAAAAGCGCTCGGAGAGGTCCGCCCCAGCTGGCGAGGGGCGGTTTTCAAAACGCTCAGTGGCGGGTGGGCCACCACCCACCGCATGCATGTGCTAGCCCAGCGCTCGTGCGTGTTCGGGTGCCCGAACGCGCCCGATTCATTTCCCCACTACCTCTCCTGCTCCGTCCTCCTGAGCCTCCTGTGGTCCCCCGACCCCGCTCCTCTCCTCAGCGCATGTGCGTCCTGGGGCTTGGGCCCCGCAGCAGCGTGCCCTTCCGAACCTGCCGGCGACCTCTCGTTGCGGCAGGCGATTCGCAGGATCGCTCTGGCCTTCCATCTGTACAACAAAATGAAGCAGCACGCAGCGCCGTCGCCAGCAAACATTGCTGCAGCGATGGCCGCAGCGAAATCTCTCCTGTGGCGTTGAGCCGCTGTCCACCGTCTCACGCGCTGCCTCTCTCTCTAGTCAGGCTTGTGCGTGGGCTGGGCTGACAGACGTGGCCGCCTCAAGGTGCGTTCACTCCTCCTCCTCCCCTTCCTCCTCCCCCTCTTCTTCCTCCTCCTCCTCCTTCTTCTCCTCTTCCTCCTCCTCCCCCTCCTCCTTCTCCCCCTCCTCCTCCTCTTCCTCCTCTCCGTAGCCATTTTGGCTCAAGCCATTTTGGCTCAAGGCGGGTCTTTCTGCTTCGAACTTTGGGACGGCATTGAAGTAGCGAGCCAGCTGGCTCCCCCTCGGCCCAGATCCGACGCGTCTCTGCCATGGGCCTCGGCGGCGGAGGCATGGGCGGTGCTGGGCCCTGGGGCGCGGCCCCTCTCGCCGGTGGCGGCTGCGGCGGCGGCCGCGGCGCTGCCGCAGGCGGTGGAGGGAAGGGCAAAGGGGCTGCTGGCGACCCTCCTTGGTCGCAGGGCCGTGGCGCCGCGGGCGCAGCGCCCTGGCGGTCCCGACGCCCCCCCCCCCCGCCGTGCCGAGCGAGAGCTCAAATGGCGGTGTGCATGGTGCAACTGCGCGCGCAACCTGGACCGCGTGGTGCACTGCAAGCGCTGCGGCGATTGGCGCGCCGAGGCGCCCAGCCAGGGTGCTGATGCGGCGCTCGGGGGCGGCTCGGCGCGAAGGCGTCCTTCGGCCCTTTCTCGGTCGTTGGCTCTGCCTGATCGCCCTGCTGCTGGCGCCGCCGATGACCCCAGCCTGTCAGAGGACGAGCTCGAGCACCTCGCGCGCCTCGCAGAGAAGGCTGGGGATGCACACGTCGCAGGTCGCTACGAGCAGCAGCTCCAGAATAAGAAGGCTGGAGGCCCTCCCCTGCAGCAGCGCATCTCGGACTGTGGGGCCAAGGTTGCTCTACTTGAGAGTGTCTTGGACAAGGAAGTGCAGAAGCTCGAGCAGTGCCAGCAGTGGGCCGCCCAGCAGCTCATCACGGTCACCGAGCTCACTGAAAGGCTGTCCTTGGCAGACAATGAGTACAAGACCGCGGTGTCTGCTCTTGTGGGTGTGTCGCAGCAGCGGGCGAGTTCCCCCCCAGCGACCCCTGCGCGGCTGTCTATCAAAGAGGTGGTGGATGGCACGGGCAACATCGCCGATCTCATCGACGTGGACTCGTGCTTCGACGTGGAGGGCTACGAGCGCACCGACGACGACCGCAAGCATATCATCGAGAGGCGCGACCAGCTGCGCGAGCAGCTGCAGGAGGTCGCCAAGGGCCTTTTCTCGGGCGCTGTGGAGAAGCTCGAGTCCATCAAGAAGGACCGCGCTGACCACCTCGCCCGCCTCACCAAGAAGCGCAAGGGCCCGACAGGTGACGGTGTCGCTGCAGGTGGTACTCCCGCTGTGCCTGGAGGTGCAGCCGCACAGGTGGCAGGGGGCGGAGGCAAGGCGCAGGCTGCTGACGCCAAAGTGGAGCCAGCCGACAGGGGCAAGCAGGTTGCCTTCGCCTCGGAGCGCCCGCCCACGCGCTCACCAGCTGCCAGGACCGCCCGTTCGTCATCCATCCGTGAGCGTGCGGCGGCCTTCATCAAGGCTGCAGCGTCCACTTGTGGCCCCCCTGCCGCGCCTGAGTCAGGCGCAGCAGCTTGATCGTGGCAGGGGGGCTCTCTCTCAATGTAATTCAGGTCAGCGCGGTGGCAACCTCGACCCGTGGAGAGTGCATGGGCACGCCCAGGTTGAGGAGTCCATCGGCTGCGTCCTGGCTTGCGCCAATACCCGCCTGACCCACTCCTCGTCGTCGGCGCTGGCCGCCCGAGCGAGCATCCGGGTCAACAGGCAAAGTGATTTTTCCTTCGGCCCAGTCCCCGCGCCCGTCTCGGGGCCCTGGCCCGTCTCCCCATCCTAGGCCCCTGGAGTCCCTGGCCCAGACCTCTGGCAACTTTAGTGGGGCGGTGTGGGCGTGTGCCGAACCCGCCCGTGATTTTTTAGTACCCCCTCCACCCCCTGGAGCAGCTCAATTTTCCCTGAAAGTTGAGACCCTGAATTGCACTGCCTGGTCGTCCCTGCAGAGATGGCTACCGCGCTGCACTTCGCACGTCATCCTGTTGCAGGAGCATCGCCTTCGTCAAGGGGATGAAGCTGATCGTGCTTCTTCTTGGGCCAAGGTCCACGGGTGGCAAATCCTTCTCACTCCTGCCCTCTCTACCCCCTCTGGGGGTACGTCGGCTGGAGTTGGCATTATGGTTCGTAGTTTCCTCGGTCTCCGTCCGCCCTCAGGTGGACATGTTTTGATCCCACACAGGGCGGTAGGTGCCATCATCAACATTCCAGGTGGCGACTCGATCTATGTCTTCAGTCTGTATTTGCACCACTCGCAGGGGCTCAGCGACTCGAACGTCGGCCTCCTGTCGCACGTGGCGGCGGCTTTGGAAGTTTGGGCAGGGCCATACATTCTTGGGGCTGATTTCAACATGGAACCTTCGGTTGTCCAGGAGTCTGAGTTTGCGAGATCCTGTGGATGCAGAGTTGTGGTTCCTGAGGCCGTTTCTGGATCTTGTCTTTCTACTGGTGGGTTTCGGCTGCTGGACTATTTTGTGGTTTCCAGTGGGCTGTCCAAGGGGCTGTCGAAGGTGTCTGTCGAACGCGACGCGTGCGCGTCACCTCACTCGCCTGTCTCTCTGGAGTTTTACCCGCAGCTGGCGCAGCTTTATGGTCTGAAGTTCCGCCGTCCCCCACCCATCCCCGTGGACCCCATTGTTGGGCCTCCGCCGCAGCCTTCCAATTGGGAACAAGCTCGGGCTCTGGGCCAACAACTCTTGGGTGCCGTCGAGTCTGGGAAGTCTCTGCCTGTCCAGAAGCTGTTAGATGCGGTGTATTCTTCCTGGGCTAACTTGACTGAGCGGGAGTTGGCTAACTCAAGAGGCGTCCAGCTCCCGTGTCTTGGATCTAGGGCCAAGGCCCCGCAGATGTACTGGGCGCTGGTGTTGGAGCAGGACAGGAAGCCTCCAGCGCGCCAGCCTTTATACTATGCTATCAAGTGGCTACATCTGAAGTTTCGAACGTACATCTCTCTTCACAGCGAGGCTTCCGACACCGGTATGCAGCGTCAGGCTGGCGTTCTTCGTTCAACTATTTGTGCACTTCCGTCGTTCTTGAGAGAAGGCTTGGTGCATCACCAGCGCTGGCATGATGAAGTGCGCGCAGCTGTGGAGCAGCCTTTCAACCAGGTGAATTGTGAATCGATCTGTGCGAATCTAGATGTGGCAGTTGCGGCTGCTGAGGCGATTGCTCAGCAGGAGGCTTTGGCCGGTTGGAAGCAGTGGCTTTTAGATAAAGTTGAAGCTGGGGCGAAGCGTGCCCACTCTGTTGTTCGTGGCTTCACACCGTGGGCTCCTGCTACGGCTTTGTTGTCGAGTAGTGTCGTCGTGGCTGACCCCCAGGCTCTCCTCGACGCGCAGGCTGCGCAGTATTCGGAGCTGTGGCACGCTCGCACTTGCACGCCTCGGGCCACGGACACTTTCCAGCCTCTACCTCCTCTTCCTCGACTCTCTCCTGAAGATCTTCGGGCTTGTAGTCGAAAGTTTTCGAAAGGCACGGCCACGTCTATCGACGGGTTCCACGTGCGCCACTTCGCGTCGATGTCGGACGAATCCCTCGATCTCCTTTCGGTCATCTACTCTGCTATGGAAGTAAGCAGTCTCATTCCCAAGCAGGCGGCAGTTACTATTATGTCTCTCATTGGCAAGCAGGCAGGAGGCTTTCGGCCGATTGGCCTCTTCTCCTCTATCTACCGTCTTTGGGGGAAGGGGAGGAGAGGATATGCCGCAAGATGGGAGGATGATAACCGACGGCCGTTTTTTGCAGCTGGCAAGTTCGCCTCATCTACTGATGTGGTGTGGCGGCAGTCGGTGAAGGGAGAGGTTGCAGTGAATGATGGTAAGGTCTCGGCTATTTTGTTGTGGGACCTGGTGAAGTGTTTCGAGTCTATCAACCTCGACCTCCTCCTCCACCGTTGTGCGCAATACGGTTTCAATATGTCTGTTGCGAGGGTGGTGGTAGCCATGTATCGCAACGCTCGTTTCATCACCATGGGTCAGATCGTGCGAGGCCCCTTTTACGTGGTGAATGGAGTTGTTGCAGGATGCCCTTTTGCCACGACGATGGTCAGGATATTCATCAGAGGGCCTCTCGACTCGGCAGGAATCCCGAAGACAGTTTCGCTCGACGTTTACATCGATGATTACGGGGTGTCGACTGTCGGTACCGTGTCAGAAGTAGTATATGACCTGTCCGAGGTGGCCACCTCCCTGCACGATGCCATTGTGAATGACATCAGGGGCAGTATTTCACATGAGAAGGCCAACCTTGTGGCTTCTCATCGGCACGTTGCTGTTGCTCTCCGTAAGCGACTGGGAGCTCTTGCTGGCAAGCGGGTTGTTTCTTCTGCAGCGAACCTTGGGATCGATCACACCTCGGGACGGCCCCGTCGGGCCCCGAATCGGTCGAAGGTTTTCAAGCTTCGCATGCTCACGCTGAAGCACAAGACTAAACGACTGCAGAAGATACGACAGGCTATAGGTAGGCACTCCAGGCAGCTGTTTGTCACTGGGCCCCTGCCAGGCTACTACTACGGGGGTGATGTCCACGGGGTCTCCGACCGGGAATGGGGTATCGCTCGTCGTGCCTTTGGTCGATGTATCAGGCCCAAGGCTGGATCCCGCTCGCTCACATCAGCTGTTATCCTGGAGAAGGGCCCGACATACTATGGGCCCATAGCCCCCATCTTGAGGTGCGCCAAGGAGCTCTGGGGAACCCACATGCGTACGTTTACTTTCACTCTGTCCTGGCAGGAACTCAGATCATCTTGGGAGTCTGTGTTCTTGGGACCTGGGCCCGATAACTGGAAGCAGGTTTCGGGCCCCATCAGTGCTATGAAGCTCAGCCTTAGGCGTATTGGCTGGTCGATGCTTAGTTTCGCGGTGATGAGGGATCAGTTCGGCATCGACCTGCCGCTCACTTTGGTCAGTCCTGCTCTTTTGAAGCGTCATCTTAGGCAGGCTGTCTTGTACCTTCATGAGCGTCGTGCTGGAGCGAAGTTCCTGCCGACGCTACAACAGCCCGTTCGTGTATGTCATGACCAGGTGCATGCCGTGCTGCAGTCTTCAAAGTGGACCCCGCGCGAGAAGGGCTCCACTAAAGCCTTGGCCTGCTCAGCAGTGTGGGCCAAGACTCGTGCACGTGACGCTGGATACGAGCAAAGAGATGTGCTCTGTGATTTATGTGGCAGCGCGGACGACACAATCCTTCACATATTATGGCGCTGCCCCGCATGTGATGATACCCGCAAGGAAGTACTAGGTAGAGATGCTCGGCTCGCCCCTCCTCTGGACCTCACGGCAGAAAGCGATCCTGAGCAGTACCTCTTGTACACCCGCGGTTTGTATGTGCATCCTGGGGACTACCTTCCACGCCCTGCTCACGAACTTGACGGCCCAGGCACTGGTATCCAGGTTTCTTGGACGGGGGACCCGAACAACCGCAGCACCAACCTCGTCGGTAGGCTCTATGTAGACGGCTCCTGTTTTAGAAATGTGTCTCCAGAGCTCTCCAGGGCGGGGTGGTCGGTGGTTTGCGTTTCTGAAGAAGGGTATGTTCACTGTGTTAGTTCAGGCCCCCTCCTGGCGCATTTCCCCCAAACGTCTCAAGCTGCTGAGTATGCGGCTTACTGTTCGGCCTCCCAGTGTGGGGATGAATGCAGCCACATCTATAGTGACTGCCAGAGTGTGGTCAACGCCTCTCTAGACCCGATCCCCGCGAGGCTGTCTTTTCGTCGCCCTTATGCGGGCCTTATGTTGCAGGCGTTGGGCCCTATTGCCAGTGCGGTCAGCAAGGTCAAGGGCCACGTCCCTGACAGCCCAGATCTCACCCCTGAGGCCCGTGCCCACAAGTTTGGCAACGATTGTGCTGACCAGGCTGCTCGCCTTGCCGCCCTGAGGCACCCCGCCCCTGATCCAGGGGATGCGGATCGTGCCGTGCGTGCGGCGCGTGTCTCGAGGGCTGTTTGTCGGCTGGCGGCTCGGGTGATGTCTCTCTGGCCGAAGCTAGATCTTTCGGGGGCCTCCAGGACCAACCCCCCCCTCTGCCCCGAGGCCTCCTCCCCTGCCCTCTCATTCCTGGTCCTGGGAAGGCAGGTTTTGGATTTGCGCTTTGTGTTTTCGGTGTGCCCGTGGATCCCAAAGGCCCCCTCCTGGTAGGTGCCGTGGCGCGGCCACCGTCAAAGGTCTCACGGGTCAGGGCTTGATTGACCACGGCCACAGACCCATTTTCTTTGATGTGAATCAGGGTGGAGGCATCCTTGTCGCCTGCACCCGCTGTTGCTATTACACGTGCGGTGGGCAAGTCAGGAATCTCGGCAAGGCTTGTGTTGGACCTCCAGACAGTAAGTGCAAGTCTGATCACGGTAGAATGCATGCTTGGGGTGAGATTTTAAAAGGCAAGCACCCCAAGTCAGGTAGTAGTCTCTCGACGGGGCTGGACGATGCGACAGCGAGCGCCTCGGAGGGACCCCTCTCTCTTGTCTCGTGCCCAGCCCCCGACGCGCCACCCGCCCAGGCCCCTGTGAGTGAATCTAGGGGACTGGATTGGCTTTTTCGACGATTATGAGGCCGAGGATGAGGCAGCTCTCTTCCTCGGCCACTCCACTGCGGCCGTCTCGGCCGCCGACAGCCAGGCGGCCGCGCCGCCCCCCCCGCCCGTCGTCCCGCCGTCCTCTCGTGCGTGCACTGGGGTGGGGGCGGGACGGACTGGGCCGCCTGGTGTCCTGGGATTTCTTTCCTCCTCCTCCCCCCCCAATTCGGCGGGGGCGGGGGGGCCTTTCGTCCCTCCCCCCCCCGAGGCGGGGGGGGGTCGGGGAAGAGCAGCTCCGCAGGGTTAGGGTTCGCCTCCACGCCGAGGAGGTTGAGGCCCCTCTTGTTGCGGGAGCTGCTCGCGTTTGGTCTGCGGGGTCTGACGACTCCGACTGACCTCGGTCCCTAGGGTGCCCGTCGTGCGCGTCGGCCACCGCCTTGGTCCGCTGCCGACAGCTTTTGTCTCAGCCCAGGCTGTTTCAATCTGTCGGCTCACCTCCTCTGGGTTGATGTTGAAACACTCCTCTTCCTCCTCCTCCAACTCCTCCTCCTTCTCCTCCTCCTCCTCCTCCTCTTCCTCCTCCTCCTCCGCCTTCTCCGCCTCCGCCTTTTCCTCCTCTATCCTCTCCGTCCTCCTTAGCCTTCCCCTCCTCCTCCTCCTCCTCCTTCTCCTCCTCTTCCTCCTCCTTCTCCTCCTCCTCCTTTTCCTTTTTCTCCTCCTCCTCCTCCTCTTCCTCCTCTCCTCCTCCTCTTCTTCCTCCTCCTCCCTCCTCCTCCTCCTCCTCCTCCTCCTCCTCCTCCTCCTCCTCCTCCTCCTCCCCCTCCTCCTTCCCCTCCCCCTCCCCCTCCCCCTCCCCCTCCCACTCCTCCGAGCGCGGCGCGGGTTCTTTTCCCGCGGGTGCTCGTTGGTCGGGAGCTGGCGCATGCCTGCCAACCCATTCGCGACCCACCGCGGGGCACCCCCGAGGAGGAAGGGGTGCGCCGGCAGAGGCCTACAGACTGCCATACTTGGGAGGTCGTACGCGCCCCACAGGAAAAGGTAGTGGACCAGCAGGACCCCGTAGCGGCCCGCGAGGGGAGCCCCGCGCTCCGGGCAGCCGCGCCAGCTCGCCGCCAGACGCTGCGCCAGTTCGCTGGGCAGCTGCGCCAGCTGCGCCGGCCCCTTCCTCGCCTCTTTGGACCCCGAACGCCCATTCATCAACCGATGGGGGCCTGGGCCCCCCATCCTTCCCCTAGACGTGCGGCTTCGCTATCGAGGGCCTGCCGCCGATCTATCGGCGATGTGTCGCCGATTCAAAATCACTTCTTCCCCGCTGTCGCTGCCGTTCTCGCTCTGCCCCCCTTCTCCATCCCTTCGCCCCCCCTCCCTCCTTCCCTCCTCCCTGGTCCCTCCCTTCTCCCTCCCTCCTTTTGTCATCCCTCCCTCATCCTTCCGTTCGCCCTCCCTCCCTCCCTCCTCCCTCCCTCCTCCCTTCCTCATCCCTCCCAGGGCCGTTTTCATCGGGGGCACCTCCGTCTGCCCAAGCGGTATTCTTTAGGGGTACGGCCTCGTGCGCGCTGCCCCTGTCAGCTGGGGCTCGGCCGGAGCTGGTGGTCGCGTGCGACGAGCACAATCTATTCCGGATGGGATATTAACCGAGGGGTGGGCGACTAACTTTCCGACGGAGCTTGCCCATCCCTTCCCTCCATTTCTTCCTTCTCCTCCTCCTCCTCGTCCTTCTCCGCCTTCCCCTCCTCCCCTTCTTCTTCTTCCTCCTCCTCCTCCTCCTCCTCCTCCTCCTCCTCCTCTGCCTCCTCCTCTGCCTCCTCCTCTCCCACCTCCTGCGCGTTTAGAAGCCGTGCATGCGGCGGCGCGTCGGCGGCACGCCGCGCTACGCGCCCGCGAAGGGCGGCGGGTTCGTGAGAATCGGCCGTGTGAGCGCAGGCCGCAGGTGCTGCCGCGCGGGGCTCTTGGCGAGATCGCCAGCTCGCTGACCCTTCTCCTGCGGCTGCTTCATGGTAAGCGCTCGGTTGGCCAAGTTCTCAACGGCACGCAAGCCGCTCGCTGGCCCCCACAATAACAAGAGCAGGAGGTTGCGCGGCAATGGGCTCCACCACGAGAGGAGTGGGGTCACAGTCGAGCTTCATTCTTTTTGTCCCATTTCGGTAGGGTCCGCGGTCGATGTCAAACAGTGTCCTCTCCACCTCCTCCTCCTCCTCCTCCTCCTCCTCCTCCTCCTCCCTCCTCCTCCTGCTTCTCCTCCTTCTCCTCCCCCTCCTCCTCCTCTCCTCCTTCTCCTCCAGAAGACTTCGTCTTATGGTCATGCTCATGCTCATGCCCCTCCTCCTCCTCCTCCTCCTCCTTCTCCCCCTTCTCCTCCCCCTCCTCCTCCTCCTCCTCCTCCTCCTCCTCCTCCTGTGATCCTGTGATCCTGTGGCGCAACTGTCCGGCTCCCTGAGGCTACACAGCACGCTGACAACGACAAGACGACGGAAAGAGAAGGCGGTAGCATTAGCCCGCCTCCTTGAACAGCTCCGCGGGGATGGGCCAGCTCCTCCCGAAAGACCTCCCATCGGACGGGTCCTTACCCTTCCTGAGGTCCGAGAGGCTTTGCTGGGCCCCCTTGTTGCGCGGTGCTGCGTGGCACTGCGCATGCATGAGGCGGGACCTCTTGGTGCCAAAGGCAGCGCACCTCGAACACCAGACGATCCCCCCACCCCCCATCCACAGCTTATGGGTACTGTGGGCACTACGAGCAAGCCTGGGGAGACCAGTACACGGGGTCAAACAGAGCCCAGTCCTGGAGTGAGACCTGTCTCCGCATCTCGGGCAGAAAAACCTCTGGAGTTTCTGCCCCGACCTACGAACCTCATGCCCGTTGGGGTCCGCCACCAACTCCAATCGAGTCGGTCTTCTACGGCCCCCAACTTTACACTTTGCAACGTCAGGAAAACCCCCCTCCGAGAGAGCAAACAGGATCGCCCCTTGGAAAGTCCCTATCTGCCTAACCTGCTCAGAGAGGCTCACATACTCAGCTTTGGCCCTGGGGTTGGTCGGGTGAAGTTTGGCCCCCTCCCCCGCAAGTCGATCGGCCTCATTGTTCCCCTTCCACGCCCAGATGGGCATGCCCACCTCAAGAGCCTTGGTGAGGGACAAATGCGAGCGGACCTTGCGGAGGGTAATATTTTCAATCCCATAGTCCTGAGCAGTCTGGAAGATCTGAACCCATAATTCAGAGTAAGCCAAACGATCGAAGTCCTGATCGGGCCCCTTGGCCCAGACATCAACGACAAGCTGGCAGTCCGAGGCGATTTCCACGACACCGACCTCGAGCGATCTCAAGGCCATGAGAAACGCATACACCTCGCCGCATCCCGCCTCCTGCACAGGGTGGGGAAGCGGGCCATACTTGGACGACGCGACCACCGCGACCCGGGGGTCCATGCACACGACCGCCCACCCCGCCCTGCAGAAGGGGAGGTCGGGATCCAGCGCAGACCCGTCCAGACAGATGCGGTGGCTCATGTAGCCTGTGGTGGAAACCTTGTCCCACTTCACATACTCGTGCTGGACTGGCGGTGGCCACTTTGCCTCTGGGGACACAGCCAGTCCACGCGTGTGAAAAAGTAGAGCAGCGCCTGGCTCAGCAGCTCTCTCTTGAAGCTCCTGCAGGTCGAGGTGCCGTCTGAGCCCACAGTGCGCAGGGCATCTGAAGAGACGGTGCATCTGTGTCCCAGGCTCGTCGAAGCAAACCTGGCACCTGACATCCACAACCCTACGGTCTTCGTACAGCACTGCTTGCGTAGGAAAGCCACCTGCAGCCAAGCCAGACAATAACCACGCCTTCTTCTTACTCTGCTTGCTGACCTCGTTGCGGTATTGCCTGCACAGCTTAGCGATGGGAGCCACTAGGGGGAGCCCAGGAGACCCACACATCTTCAAACCCACACGGCTCCGAAGAAGGTCATGAGTATCCTGAGTGATCAGCTTGTGCAAGGATCTTTTCCCGATAATGCCCACATCAATCGTGCTACCAGAACGGGTCTTCCAAAGCCTCCAAGACTCAGAGTACCACCCCAACCTCCTTAGCGTGAGTACTACTGCAGATCCTGGGCCACGCACGTCCGACCACGCCAGACTGGGGCAGCGCTCTGCCGCCTCAAAACAGCGGCGCAGCGTGGTCGCGTTCACCCAGCCTTCTCTGGCGGCACGCGACCATGCAAGAAGAGGGAGACGATTAGCATCAAATTCGGGATCGGCCTCTGGGACAGAGGACATCATAACCTCCAGTGTACGGCTTCGACCTCGAGCAGCGCCGAACGTTGCCGAGGCCAGGGAAGATCTCAAAGAACGAACACGCCGATCGTCCAGACCTTTGACCATGGCCCCGTACATGCCCTGCGGGAGCGCCCCTCCTCTGACGACCTTCATGAGCCCCTGGAAAGAGCTGCGGAGGCTGCGAACCTTGGAGAGACGGC